AAAGAGTGTCTGAAGCCGACCTTGCAGAGCAGTGGCGCTCTCTGCCAAGGAATCCATTAAAAAAAAGGGAAAACCTTTAATTCAGAATTCGAATTTCTGGGTTCATATACCATAAAAATTATAATGACACAGTATGATTGATATGCATGTATTTGTTGACACGGCATTCAGAAATTTCCCACCGGAAATGGTAAGTCAATTATTTAAAATTTTAGTCGCATTAGACATGGGTTCACATTATTAAAAAAAATGATTTTTTTTGCAAACCTTCGGAGCCCTGGGGCAGTCTGAGTCGGGGTCTGAGAAGGAATCTGATGAGAAGGTGAAGGAGACCGGAGACGAAGAAGATGAAGGCGAGGACAATGATGGTGAGAAGTACGCTCGGGCTGATCTTGCTGTTCAGATCAAAGCTGTCTGTCTGAGGAGAAGAAGAAGGGGACAGAAAGGAACCGGCTTTCCTGATTCTAAGCAAAACCCAGTTCATGTTTTCCTTCAAAACCTCAGAAATGATGAGCCCGTTTCTATGGAAGACACAGAAAGATTTGGAGAGGATGAAAAAGCTTTGGAGAAGACCTGAGAGATAATGAGTGCTGCTGAGGATTCTACGTTGAGAGGCGGGTGTTGGGACAAAGACAAAAAGACCGTTTTAATGCAAACCCAACTGGTTTTGTCGCGGCATTCGGGGCCTGCAAGTCAATGAAGTTTTGGTGGAGAGTGTTGAGTATTTGAATTAGGGGTCAGAAGATAGATATAAATAGAGGGAGGGAGAGAGAAATCAAACGTCAACAATCCAAAATCCAGCGTTTAAAATTTCAGAAGTTTCTTTACGACAATTTCAAGGCAGACACGGAAGTGGGAGAGCAGAGTAAATAACTCAAAGTATTTAACCCAAACGCGTCGGTTTCTAAAATATACAGACTTTGGACGCACATTATACATGTAAACAACGTCCAAGGTCATATAGAGTATGGTTTTGTTCCACCAAGCCTCGTCAATCCAAACATTCGGTGTAAACATGAGAATTAATGCAGAAGCGGTGGGTTGACCTCAGCCGCACCAAATCCAATGCCTCATTACAACAAGACAAACTCCGCTCTATATTTCACCAGACATCATCATGCCCTTTTTTTAAATCATTATTCAGAATGTGGTTTGTCTTTTATCTTCGACAAATTTCACCATTCACATAAATATGATAAAAAAGATAATAAGATTAATTCGAAAGAGTCCCGTAAGATTTCATGGTCCCGCAAATACTGTTTACATGCAAATCAGTGGGGAAAAAAATCAAATGTACATTTAATCTCTAGAAATTTGCGAAATTATATATTTTATTGATAATTAAAATAATAAATAAATAGATGAGGGTAAATTGAATATAATAATAAATATTTTTAAATATATATTTTTTAGATTTGAAAAGATCTATATAATATGATATTTGTCGTACTATTCTTTAAAATTCGGGATATCTTAGTATCACAATCATAAAAAAAAAAATGTTCAAAGCAGTAAGTAGTGGAGTCGAATAATTTGCTGCGGTCTGAGAAGGTCAAAAAGTGAATCCCATTTCGATAGGTAGAAGGTTCTTCACCTTTTTCCCTTGCTTAGGGATCTGCCAACGTAACAACTACCTGTGCGCATGTTCATGAAATAACCATGTAAGCTTCTGTCTAAAACTTTTGTCTTTAGATAAAGTCTTATGTGATATATATATATATATATATATATAGTGCCACGGATTCTTACCATTTCCGCAGTTCTACAACATAAATTCATCATTTTGAATAAATCTCTATACTTTATGACGGGTACTATCACTGTACGCAAAGCATATAGCAATAAACAATATCATACGCAACAATATCATAATATATATATATATATATATAGAAATTTGCGAAACATTTATGATGTATATTTATATTTGATTAAGAAAAAGGAAGCACCGTATCGATGATAATGAACCCTGCATTAATTTTAGCTTGTAGCAGTATAACATTTCCTTGTTTTACGGTCTCGAGCCTTTTGTTAGCCGCTTAAAGGCATAGACTCAAAACAATTTTCGTGCAAAGGAATGAAGGAATACACGATTAAATTAATTTAATATATATATATATATTCGACGAGCAAGTTGGCTCTGCAGAGAGGACACGTGGAATGGGTCAAGAGCCACGTGTCTATACAGTCCACGTGAAAGGCGTGGCTGCATTTGGGCAGAAGCCTGAGCTCGTCCTCGGCATCGATGAAATTGCTAAATCATAAAATTTTCCACGTAGGTTTTCGAAAGTTGAAGCCCTTGAAGACTTGAAGTTGCTGAATTCTGTAGAAATCGTGGTTCTCGATACGAATAGACAGGTCTCCGTTGCACCTCCCACAAAAACCCCATTTATTAATCTCTTGTTCTGTATTTTGTATTGTCCCTCTGACCAAAGAGAAGCGCAGAAACAAGGAAAATATTGCTACTTGTGGCAACATAAGAAAACATCACATAAATCTGCAACAAGACTTGAATATGATCGAAGTTATATGATTATACGTGCACATATTTATATATTTTAATGTATGGAAGTTGAATAAAATCTGAGTTTTCTTAGGAATTTTTTTTTTTAATATACAGATAATATCGTGTGCGTGTGCGCCTTTGTATATTTCATTAAAAAAAAATTACGGAAAAAGATCTGCTGGGCCAATCTCGACAAAACTCTTTAAATAAAGAAGGAAGAGGGAGGAGTTATATCAGAGTTTGGCCCCCAAGTGTGGGCCCACATAAAACAAGGCCCAGAATAACTCGAACCTTGAAGCTTAGCGAGAACCAGCGGTCGTTCTTGATCGGCGAAAATGGCCTCTCTCCGCTCTCCTCCGATTTCATGTTCCATCGGCACTTCTACTTCCACTCTCTTCTCATCCAGACTCCGTTCGTCGACTTCGATTCCTTCCAGGCGCCTTCGGCGACGCCCGATCGTTGCCTCTCATGTTTGCGTTCCGGCGATCGACAAGTCGATGCTCGTTGTGTCCGAGACGCTGTCGGAGGACGAGCTATGGGCTGCTGCTTGCCTCCGCGTTCGAACCTTCAACGAATTCAATGCCTCGGCTTACAATATCCAAGTCAGTTCCTTCTTTCGATTTGTCTATGTTTCAAAAGGGTCGATTCTTCTGCTAACTTAAGATAATAGTCGATGGTCAGAATGTGTTGTCTAGGATAGATTAGCCGCAGAACGTCCGTTAATTTGAGAAAATGTGCTGCTATTTATAGAAAGCGACGCGGCATGATTGCTATGGATGGAGGTAGAAATGAAATAGTAACTATGCCTGATGATGATGTTTAACGAGTAGAGTGGGAATTCCAGTGTTGTGTGATCAATTTGAAGGATAATCCTGATGGTTTTCTCCTCCGGGTGGGTGGTCAGGGATGCTGTATCATTGTGATGCTGATGTTGTGTTATGTTGTCAAGTTTCATTAGGATCATAGAAGATACTTGGCGGAGCGTGAGTTTGAGGCGCTGAAGGAGCGTGTTTCTGGAAAGAGGGAGGGATTTAGAAGGGTTTCCTGCATAAATGCTACCCTTCCACTATCCCAAATATCGATTGCTTCTGATGATTTATGCTCCACATGTAAGGTCTGTCTTTTTTATCACAATATTATTGGGATGAAACTATTTTCATGGGATTTAGAAGGATTTCCAGCTTGAATGCCATGCTTTCATTGCCTCAAACTTGGTTTATATAATTAATGAGGATTTTTTCTCTGCATCTAAGGTCTGTTTTATTAGTCCTATGTGTTAGTTACATGTCATGTCATGACAGATTTAGAAATTGAGTCAAGTCTTATGATGAGCGTTTGTCTGTTTACCGATATTCATTTTTCCCTAGCTGCTTTTGTTTTTTTTTCTTGTTCGTTCTGAAACCTTTCTCATTTTGTATTTTTCTTAGTTCTCTGATGGTAATGAAGATAGAGTTGTGGTGGGGAGCCTTGATCTTAACCAATGCCGTTGGCTTCCTGATGAAATCACTGGAACAAAGCCAGAGGTATTTCATGAAAGTGATGGGGAAAAATTCAAACTTTAACCATTAACTCAGGGAAAAAAAGTTTTGCGGTATATGGGTCAAACAAAACACAATATAGCTTCTTTTGAGGGTAGGTTTCACAAATCGGGAAGCTTATATCTTTTTCTTTAAAGGGGTTTGCTGCAGATATAGGGAGGGCATACCTTAGCAACGTCTGTGTTGCCAAAGAGCTGCATCGAAATGGAGTGGGTTACGAACTCGTAAATAAATCAAAGAAGGTTGCCGCTGACTGGGGTAAGAATATTTTCTAGCTGGAGTTTGAAAGACTTGGGTCAGATCACAGAGTTATTTCCTAAAAAGTTTTGTATTTACCTATCTTGTGGTGGTCTAGTGGTTGTATCCTAGAGGTCCTATGTTCGATTCCAAAGATGGAGAGGGGGGAGAAATTTAATTGCTCTAAACACTGCCTCCGTCCCTAGGGGAATTAGTTCTGGCGAAGATTTAGTAAACCTCCTAGTTAAAAATAAAAGTTTTGTATTAACATGGCCACCACTAAAGTGGATGGTTGGATAGACATGTTCCGTGTTAAGAAATAAGAAGTCTTTGGGCATTGCAGGAATAACGGATATAACTTTTATATTAACATGGCCACCACTAAAGTGGATGGTTGGATAGACATGTTCCGTGCTAAGAAATAAGAAGTCTTTGGGCATTGCAGGAATAACGGATATGTACGTGCATGTGGCGGTGAACAATGAAGGGGCGAAGAGGCTATACATGAAGAGTGGGTTTGTACAAGAGAACGATGAGCCTGCTTGGCAAGCTCGGTACCTTGACAGGCCCCGTCGCCTCCTCCTATGGCTCGGCCTCCCTCCATCCTGACTGCCCCCATCGTATAGTCCCTCTTTTTTCATTACCGCTTGTAAATTTTCTACAAATGCAAATATTAATGTTGTTTTTCAAGATTATTTATTAACAAAGGTCCATGTTTTAATGGATTCACAAGAGGTCGCTCTTTTCCAGTGTCAAAGATGTAAAGAATCGGTTTTGACGGTGTGAATCGTGCTATTTTTTGTTTTTTGTGTGATCGAAATATATACAACCTTTGAATGACATCTAATCGATCAAGTTGTCAACCTTTTTTTCTTGCCAGTAAATTTAAGATAGAGGAATAAGATTTGGGTCATTTTGAAGATTTGATTCCATTTATTTGGATCTTTCTTCTTGGCCTAGTCTTCAGTTTCCTTTTCAATATCGGAATGGTCGCTTGGTTAAATGATTTCAATTTCAGACACAACATAGTTGTGCAACTAGGACCGGGCAGGAACAAAAGGGTCCTTCCTTTGCATTGCAAATATGGTCAACCAATCTTGAAATACCGTGAGGATATTTTGCCTCGAGATAGATTAGACTTCAAATAATATTTATATAAAAATTTTAAAACAGCAGGTGAGGCGAATCTAACCAAATTCCCTTGGGTTACTATTCAAGGCCCAATACTAACGGGGCACGATCTGCAACCCAAATGTCCTACAGGTCAACACATTTCATGTCATTGAATTGCTCTGCCAGCGACGAAAGTTCCCAGCTGCAGCCATCTATCGTCGTTTTCATTTGCTCTCGCCGCCGGTTTATCTTCTGTTAGGATGGCGTTTACTTTGCCACATCCCTCTTCTCGTTTGTTTGCATTTTGACCCGATTGCCCTCCTCTTCAAAGTAGAATCTGGGTTTCGATCAATTCCTCGGTTTCTGCTATTACTGGATCGGATCGATTTGGCACGTATATGGATGGGTTCGTGAAAGAGGGAGAGCTTTTGGCTTGCGTGTCCTGTTTCTCTCATATCTTTATAGGTATGTCCCCGAAAATACGCACCTTTGGTATTACTTTCTGATGATGATCTTTGTACTTGATTGTCTCTGAGAATGAACATTTCTGTCAACTCGGTATTATTTTCTATGGCAAATTAAAATTGTTTGTTTTTGGGCTTAGTGTTGGTTGGTTTCTCAATGCATAAGTCCTCTGAAGTTGCTACTGGATTCCTTGCTGTTCATTTGGATAAGGTTTTGCGTGTTCATGATACCGGAAACCTTAAACTAATAGCTCTCTATTCTATCGAAAGGAGATTCTTTCGCCCAAATGCATGAATTGATCATGGACATAGATGTAGATTTGGCGTAGATGCTGTGGAAATTGAATTGAGGTGCGGCAGTTTTCTTCTTTACATGTAATATGGAGTCTTACGGATCACTAAAAAAATTGCTTAAAGTTTTGCAATTTCATTGTTTACTCAGGCGTCAAGCGGTCGGCACATGTCCCACAGGCTTTAATTATCGTTCCTCTGCGTCGTTACTACGGTGGTGGAGTAAGATTCAATCAGTTTTTATCGCATCTTCCATATCATGTCTGAGGCAAAGCGACCTACTTCTGCCTCCACGCGAATAATCACCACAACCCTCCTCGACTCCATCATTATCCTCTTCAGGAACAAACGGATATTCCTGTCAATCTTCACGTTTCTCACCCTCCCTCTCTCGGCCCTTCACTTCTGCCTGACCCTTTTGTCCTTGCATCTCAAAGACCATGTCTTCCATTTAGAAGCCCTTGCAAATGTCGTGCATACACGGTTTGAGGCTAGGCAGATCTGGCAAGAATCCCGGGAAGATGCTGTCTCACTTTTACGTCTCAAGTCCCGATTTTTCATCCCCTCCTTCATCCTCTCCTGCATCTCCTGCATAACCGCTACCACGTCCAGCTCTGTATCATATCATGGTCAGAACCCGTCTCTTAGGACTGCTTCTGCCTCTGTCAAGTCCTCCTGGATGCGTGTCACCGTCACCTCCATCACTATATACACACTGCTCTTCCTCTACTCTGCAATCCCGTTGTTCCTATCAGCTTTCTTCCATTCCATGCCGGCCTTGCGTTTCCCGTTCATGGTTCTCAGTCTTTGCGTTGAGGTCTATATGATGGCAGTAACAGGGCTAGGACTTACTGCCTCGGCATTGGAAGAGCAATATGGTTTGGACGCCGTCTGGGTTGGTTCGTCGTTGATGAAAGGGAGAAGGGTGTCTGGATTGGCATTGTCGGGTGGGTTTGTGTTTCTGTCAAGTTTAATGGGGAATGCGATGGAGAAGAGAGCAAGGGCTGTACAAGTGGCAGAGGCAGAGTCGTGGTGGGGGGCAATGGCAGCTGGCGGCTGGGATGGGGCGGGGCTGGTGCTCTTATATGCAGCTGAAGTGTTGATTGGTTATGTCGTTACTACCGTTTTCTACTGCGAGTGTAAGAGACGCCATGAGAACAGAGATGAAGATGTTGTCCTTGTTGATCTCTGATCGATTTCCGTTTTTGATTTCTTTCCATCTGTGTCGGGTGTTTGTATTCTTCGTTGTAGGCCAAGAAATGATAGCAAGTCTGATACATCGATAAGTATATATGTGTGTGTGTATTAACTGTGAAAGATATAAATGATCCTAACTCGTGAACGAAAGTCATTGGGTACTTTTTGCCGGTTGAAAAGAGCGTGGAGTGGGAAACGACAACGTTTCGACGTTCCGTACCAATAAAACGGCGACGAGAAAAGAATCCGAAAAGACCAAGGGCAGAGAGATATGGCGGTTTCTCCACCGTCCATAATCGTCCACAGTGGAGGAGCTGGACCTCTGCTTCTATCAAGCAATCTCCATGCCCGCTTTTTGGCTCCCTCCTCTTCTTCTCGCGTGTAAGTCTCTCTCTGTCTCTGTTTTCCGAATCCTGGAAAGGACAACGGTTACGGATTTAGGTACCATATTCTTTCTTTTGAAGTTCATAAACAGTCGTTGTATTGCCCCTGAATTCTCAGTTTCCTGGATTTCTTTCCAGAATCGAGCTTCAGCTCAGCGAATTCCGTGCTTTTACATCTCATTCTCGCTTCTGTTTCAACATGTTAAGTAAGACCAGGTGGTATAGTCTTAGGCATTCCTCATATTCCTCCTCGTGTTTTCACACGGCTGAATACTCTTTTTGCTACCTCTATATTGGAGGGGTTTCCTAATGGTGGAGAACTTTTCGTGGTTCTTCCATGTTCAACATCTGTGACATTCTCTGAAACTTAAGCCCCAGGACTGGAGGCCCTTACCATGTTTGATATATGGTTATCATCCACTTTGTCAAGCCTTATCTTAAGATTTGGTCCTGTATGCATGTCTGGTTTACTCAATGTCACCAAGAAATTATGCTTTCTAATCAGATATCACTTTTCTTTTTATCTGGTTTCTCAGATGGGGGCAAAGAAGACCCCAAGACCCAAGCTTGATGGCAGGCATAAGCAGGGCCCAACCCTCCTTCCTTGTCTTGGCTAATTCAAATGTATAGCCCCGATATCGTTGTCTCCTTCTCAGTTTAGTCACTGAACATCTCGTGGGTTCCAAGATTTAGGGACTAATCTGTATACAGATGAAGAATACTCGTAGTCATCTGATTAAAAGGTGTGACATTCTGATGGACCAGCCGACATCTAGGTCCTGGAATAGTGAAGTTTAGGCAAAAACCTATTAGGAATGTTTCTTCATGGGTAATTAGACAGATTGTTTGTAGATTGTTCATATTTTCTCAGTTTTCAATTGCTTTGGTCTTCAACACTTCTGTTTCTGGGTGGTTGATATCTGGCTTTATCTGTTTTGTTATTCTTTGTGGGCTTTAGTTGAAAGTGACAAGTCTTTTTGGCTATGGTGCTGGGTTTTCGATGGTGCTGCGGCTGTGGCTTAAGCTAAAGCCTGAATGGGAAATTGCTTTTATGTTGTTACATGTCAAATTTTTGGTAAAGGATGTTAAACGTTTAGATAAGGTGGATGCAACATATACAACGTGTCAAGCGAGTGTTGTGGACAATAGTTGTTCTTGATATTTTTGTTAATCTTAACTTGGTGGATTGAACTTTTTAGGTTTAGTTCACTTTATGGTATTGGGTTTATACATTGCAGGTCACTCCACGAAAGGGTGGATCAAGCAAAGAGGTAATTATGGTTGACCCTTTGGAGGCAAAGCGATTAGCTGCGAAGCAAATGGAAGAGATCAGAGCGAGAGAGAAGCTAAAGGTGAAAACTCTTAGGTTCCCTTCATGCTGTTACACTTGAGAGTTGTATGCCTAAGTAGTAAGATTGACATTTGGAAGCACTTCTTCTACATGATCATCAACCTTGGGAGTTTAGGATTTGTAGATATTACACCTTGTAAACTTGTGACTGGGAAATCTGATGACATGTGATGATCTATCTGCCTGCTTCGAGGGCTCTTTCATGTTTCTATCATTGCCCATGCCGTGTTTATCGCCTCTATTTGCCTTGCTATACATACACCTTACGAAACATCTAAGTGGTGAAACTTGTGAATGGGATTGGAAGGGGAATGTAGGCGGTGATGGTGATGACATTTGTTGTTGACAGAGAAGACGTCAAATAGAGGCGATAAATGGGGCATGGGCTATGATTGGACTAACTGCCGGAATCGTCATGGAAGGCCAAACAGGGAATGGTATTTTGGCTCAGGTACCTTTATATGTATATATATATATATATAATATTTGAATGCTCACTTTGGGTTTTTTTTTGTTGCTTATTTAGCTCAGAATGTTATATATATATATATGTATATGCTTAGAGAAACATGCGATGTTGGGTTTTGTCATGTTGCAGTTGGCTTCTTACTGGTCTGCCTTTTGCCATCTTTTCATCCCATGAATCTATGGGGAGGAATCTGTCTTTGTACTCGTTGTGTACTTGTCCTACACAAAACAACCAATGTGTATCCTATTAATCTTCATGGTTGTCATCATTTGTTTTAAAAGTATCTTTTATCGTAACATATTCATATATCGTCTATATATGTAAATAATTATAATTGTTTTAGAAATGAAACCTCCCATTTCTTTATCCTCGTGTGTTTTTGAATGTCTGCTAAATCCATCGTTCCGCTGTAAAATATCCCACGACGGAATTACGTGGCCAAGGCCTAATACTATCCACGGAGACAAGCCTAAATCACATCACCGACCTTTTCCATCGTACTAGGGTTTCATCGGCGATTCTGAAATTCTTGCGACAGAAAACTCCTTCCGTTCCGAAAATGATCGGTGATCGGGCGATCATGGTGTCGGAGCACTTGACCGAAAACGAATCTGCCGATGGAGCGCCAATGATCATACGAGGTCTGGAATCTTTCTCATCTCTCACTGTCCCGTTCTAAGAAATTTTGCATCGGTGTTTCTTCCTGTCTTTCATTTCGTTAATTTCTAGGTTTTGATTGATCCAATTTCTGAATATGTTTTGTTTCAATGCGATTTGTATCGCTACTGGGTTTTGGCTTTTTTTTTTTTGGTTGTGGCTGTTTGTTGCTCCGAGAACGTTATTGCTAGTTATTTTTCTTCTCTGACAAGGCACTAAGATCGAACATTGGGTTTTAAAGTCCCGTTGCAGCTTTGGTTGTTTGAATTTTCCGATGAATAGATTACAGTTTCTAGGGTTTCGGTTCCCTTACTCTCATTTAACCACTTCTTATTAGTTTAGAATCTTTAGATGATTGGTGAAGTAGGTAAGATTTCACGAACGATTACGTGATATTGATTTAAAGCTTTCTGGTTTTTTGGATTATCTTAGCCTCATGTTAACCGTTCCTTTTTAGTTTAGAAAATCGGCGATATAAGTGAAATGTACGTGATGATGCTTACATGATAATGATTTACGATCTCTAGGGTTTTGGATTCTCTTAGTCCCATCCCGTATTAACTATGTCTTTTTAGTTTAGATAATCTGTGATACAAGGCGAATGTACCTAACACCGATTACATGATGACAACAATTTTATGATAACTTCCAAGGTGGAAGTTAACCATGTAATTCCAGAAGACTAGGCATTCTTAAAAGGTTTGTTTAAGAGGAACCATGTTAAAGATATTGCTTTCCTTCAGCCTTCAGCATGAGCCGTCCATTACATGAGAAGTTCAGAGAAGTAAGGGTATGGCGAAATAAGATAAAACAAAGCCAAGGCTCATACAGGCTAGATAGATAAATCCGAGAAAGGTTAGCTACAGAGACTTTCATATATATTATGGTTGAAATCCATTGCTGTTGTTCTGGCTAGCTCTGTTCCTGTCCTGAAATTTATTGGTATTCTATGCTGTTGATGCACTAGGAAACTTGTGGTGCTACTTGCCATAGACAATGAAAAGCCTGAAGTTAAACATGTCCAGGTTTGTAGAAGTTCAGAATCTTATCAGTTTTTCAATTTTTTTATTGCTTTCAATCTCGTATCCAAGACTTTGGTTGTTCTGCTTTATGAACCAGATTGAGTGGAGTTGTTTCCTTTTAAACCATAGATGAGTAAAGTTCGGAGTTGAATGTGTCCATCACTGAAGGTGTTCTGAATATTCTCATTTTTTCATTTCCTGTTTGTTTTCAAACTCGTACGTGTGATATTTGTTGTTCTGCTTTATTAACTTGAGCATGTTTGCTTGTATATCTCATGCTGAAGGTCTTTGTGTCTGCGTGAGGTAGAAGTGGGCAAAAATACTCGAAAATTGGATCGGATTTGTATGTTTGTGCATAGATTTCAGGATGTGTATGACTAAAATTTGTATGATTTTGTTCAATTCATGTCAAAATTTGATGGTCAACTCTGGTCAACTAAGACTTGCAGGTTTTCACAGGTATGGGTATCACGGTGAGACAGAATCTAGTGGCCTTAGTCAACTTCAATCTTTATTAGCTTTCCTTTAAATGCGTATTATTCTTCGAATCTTGATCCTCCATTGGAGGATGTAGAAGCATAGCAGGTTTGTCCTCGAGGCTTTGTTGTTTTTAATGATGATGGAAGCTTATGAGTAGGTCTTGCTATTTATTCTGGTTTTATCCTATTTTTGTGGTTTTGACAGCCCTGAAGATGTTTAAAAGAATGAACATTAAAAAGATGGCAAGAAACCCTTCATGAGTATTAAGTTCTTCTTGAGTCATGAGGTATGGAACTAACCCCTTATATGAGCATGTACTGTTTTCCTAGCCTCTATGAAGCCTCTGTGGAATAGGTTAAATGCCTGGACTAGTTTGTGAATAACAAACGGTTGTGTGGATTTTCCAATTTATGAAAATGATTGAAAAACCTGAAAACTACAAAAAAAGTTCATTTGTGTAATTTTCAAAGAGAAAAAAGATGGAGATCTAGAATTATCAATGGTTTCATTCTCCACTATCTAGAGAACCCTGTTTTTATTTTATTTTTTGGTTATCGGTGATGAAATTTTGGTTTCTTTTGTACGGTTCCATTTTAAACCCTATTCTGTTTGCTGAAATCAAATAAAACCTTGAGCTTTGAAAGACTCATATTAAACCCTAAGCTTTTTGTTATAATCGAAACAAACACTAAGCTTTGAAAATTTTATATCAGACTATAAGTATTTTTATTATCTTTTAAAGCAAAAAGATTTGTAACAACATAGACGATTGTAAAATATATCTTCTCACGTTTGCTTTTGTCAAAAAAAAAATTGCTTAGGGTTTTGAATTTTGGAAAAAGGTTAGGGTTTAATATGAAAATTTGAAAACAAAAGGGGTTATTGTAATTATAGTATAAAGGACAAGGTTTAAATTATTGTATTAGCTTTCAAATGTTTGAGAAAGAAGAACTCGAGGAATTGTAAAAATGCTTCTCTGAATTGATTAAAGGAATTTACAGGCTTATTTATACAACTAACAACACTAATCTAACAACCTAAAAATGAGAAAAGTGTGTACTAACAGAAGGAATATTCTTCTGCAACAAACAATCTATACAAGCATATACAGGGAAGTAACAGAGCATTGCGGAAGGTGTGATAGCAGATGATCAAAGAAGAAGTGGCGCCAAGTGCAACGGTACCATGCTGTATAGATTAATACTCCCTCTCAAGATGGAGAAAACACGTTGTGGGTTCCCATCTTGGAGAACAGGTGCTTGAAAAGATTCCCTGCCAAAGGCTTAGTTAGGATGTCAGGGATTTGATCTCGCGGCTGAACATGTAGCGGTCTATGAAATCCATTCTTGAGGTATTCCCGAATAAAGTTACAGTCGATTTCTATATGCTTCATACGCTCATGAAAGACGGGATTATTGGCAATTTGGATAGCGGATTGGCTGTCACACAAAGTTACTCGTTTAGGGAATTGAATCCGAAGTTCGTGTAACAGAGCAGCAATCCAATGTAACTCAGATGCCGCCTGTGCCATAGCCCGATACTCAGACTCGGCGCTACTGCGAGAAACCGTCTTTTGTTTCTTGGATTTCCTGCTAACTAACGAATCACCCAGAAAAACGCAAAAACCAAAAATCGACCTTCGAGTGTCTGCACAAGCTGCCCAATCAGCGTCAGTGTATCCATTTAGACGAATCGAAGGAGCAGAAGATAAAAGGAGACCCTGTGATGGCGCATTCTTAAGATAACGAAGCAGTCGAAGTGCGACATCCAGGTGTGCTGAACGAGGAGTAGACATAAACTGATTGAGTTTCTGCACTGGAAAGGATATATCAGGACGAGTCACGGAGAGATATACGTGCTTGCCAATCAGTTTACGATACATTTTCGCATCAGGTAGAAGCTCCCCAGAATCTGTTGTCAATGTACTCTTGGGATCCATAGGAGAAGAGCTCGGTTTGCAAGATAACATGCCATATTGTTCGAGGAGTTCCAGAGCATATTTTCTTTGACAGATTTGTATACCCTTTTTGGAACGAGCTATCTCAAGCTCGAGAAAGTAACGCAGGGTACCCAAGTCCTTCATTAAGAAATGTGAGCAGAGAAAGGCCTTGACATCCTTAATCAGATCATCATTGTTGCCAGCAATTAGTAGATCATCGACATATACCAACACAACAACAAAATCTGAACCCTGGTGCTTGAAGAAAAGAGAATTATCAGCCTGAGATTGTAAGAAACCTCCAACAAGTAGCACTTCGGAGAGCTGGATATTCCATTGTCTTGAGGCTGTCTTTAGGCCATAAAGAGATTTTCGTAATCTACAGACAGAATTTTCTGAAACAGACTCCCCCTTGAGCTCCGAATAACCTGGAGGAAGTTTCATATAAATTTTCTCTGAAAGATCACCATTTAAGAAGGCATTTGAGACGTCCAGTTGATGCAGATGGCAGTTCTGAGAAGCTGCTAGAGCAAGGAGAATTCTCACGGTTGGCATTTTAGCAACAAGGCTAAAAGTGTCAAGGAAATCAACACCCTCTAGTTGTGAATACCCTTTAGCAACTAATCGAGCTTTGTGTTTGTCAATGGAGCCATCAGCCTTATATTTCACTTTATAAACCCACTTGCATCCTATAGGAACCTTATCAGACGGGAGAGAACAAATATCCCAGGAACTGTTACGAATCAAAGCGTCTAGTTCTTGGAGCATAGTTGCTTGCCAAGTCTCAGAGGTTGCAGCCTGTCTAAAAGATCTTGGTTCTGTGTTTGTGGTGATAGAAAGAGAAAACTAGCGAAAAGAAGGATGAAGAGAGGTGTAAGAAAGTACAGATGAAAGAGGGTAAGTAACAGAGGGTTGTGAAGGAGGAAGAGAATTATGGTTTAGGTAGTCACAATGGTAGTCCGAGAGATAACTGGGGGCTTTAGTCTGACATTGCGGTCGTCGATTGTCATCCGAGGAAAAATAAGAGGAAGAAGAGGTGGAAGGAGAAATGTGGGGGGTGGAGTTGGTTATAGGAGAAAAAGGAGCTGAAGCATACAAATAATAATAAGAAGGCATGGTAGGGAAGAAATCCATGGTAGAAGAAGAAATATGAGTTTTAGAAAAGGAAAAAATAGACTCTTGGAAAATGACATTTCGAGAAGTGGAAACCATGTTAGTGGCAAGGTTTAAAACTTTATAACCCTTGACACCAGATGAATATCCGAGAA